GGTTACAGAGATAGGGAGGGGGTGTGGGGGTTGGAGGGGGTTACAGAGATAGGGAGGGGGTGTCGGGGCTAGAGGAGGTTACAGAGATAGGGAGGGGGTGTCGGGGCTGGAGGAGGTTACAGAGATAGGGAGCGGTGTGGGGGTTGGAGGAGGTTAGAGAGATAGGGAGGGGTGTCAGGGCTGGGGGAGGTGACAGAGATCGGGAGGGGTGTAGGGGTTGGAGGAGGTTAGAGAGATAGGGAGCGGTGTGGGGGTTGGAGGGGGTTAGACAGATACAGTTAGCTGAAATTCAGTTCTGCCTCCCAATGCTGTGTATTGGCCTGACCTTTCTGGTGTTGTTTGTTGATATATTTTCAATCTCTCGCTGTAATATTGTTTCCCGTTTCCATTGCAGGGTGACCCTGGGCCTGGGGGTGTTGCTGGAAAGGATGGTCCTCCAGGTCTCCGTGGCTTCCCTGGGGAGAGAGGCCTTGCTGGAGCAATGGTAAAGTTAACACTCTGGTTTGTAAATGGTACAGCAGCCTCATGGGGCTGAATGGCCTTCTCCTGCTCCTGTCCTTCTGTTTCCCGATGCTAATTGTAATCAAAATCTACACACAACAAACTGCAACACAGAAACTGGGAAAACAATGAGAGGAACAGGGAGAGACTTCAAAAGGTTGCAGGAATGGATGGGTAAGTAGCAGATAGTTTCCTGCAGAGAGATGCCTGAAGCGATTGGTTTCAGAGCCAAGATCAGAGACAGACAATATAAATAAAGGACACAATCCTAATGGATGAGCAGGAGCAGAAAGTTAAAGAGTTTATGAAGTTAAAGACCACTTAAATAGTACATACCAAAGAGTTCTGGACAGAGGTGATGTCATTTTCAAGGCTGTGAGAGACAGATTTTTAATCAGGTAGAGAATCAGTTTCGGGGGAAAAGGCAGGAAGGTGGAGTTGAGGATTATTAGACCAGCCATGATTTCATTGAATGGTAAAGCAGACTCGATGGGCTGAATGGCCTATTTTTGCTCATACACCTTAAAGTTTTAAACAGGAAGATGTATTGAAAAGACACTTAATGAAACAGGTGACATTCTTAGCTGTGTCAATCAGAATTCTGAATTCAGCAGTGCAGAG